CTTTTCCATAAAACTGAGATGCAAATGCTTCGAGCTTGTAAACAATAAAATCAGCTATCGATTAGACGAAATATGGACACAACATTGCCACGGTTCAAAGTTATAACAGTTTTAAGTTGGCTGCAGTTCAATTGGGCCAACCTGTATATTCAAACCGTCGCCCATTTCATATTTAAAACAGAAACAAAAAAGTAAAACAAAAACAAAAAAAACGTTATTTACAACTGCGGCAAAAATTAGTAACTCAGTTGACACTTTAACCTAACCTAATTCTCATTTATAACTGTAGCATTCTTATCATTTCAACGTAAATGTCTCCATTTCTCCAACTCATTCGTTTCCAATCAACGTATATGTATATATACAGGGTGGCCCAATTGAACTGCAAATTTTCAGAACGCTGTTTTTTTTTTATTTGAAATTGGATGCTATTGGACCAAAAGCAAAAAATGTTGGAAAACAATTAAATTTTTTGAATTCAATTCAAATTTTCGATATGGCAAGCAATTACGTTTGAATTTCATCACTGATAACTTTTTTTTCCATAAAACTGAGCTTACGCAAGCTTGTAAACAATAAAATCAGCTATCATTAGGCGAAATATGGACACAACATTGCCAACGGTTCAAAAGTTATAACAGTTTTAAGTTGTTTTTTTTATATATAGATATATAATAAGTACATGTATTTTGAGGAAACGGAAACGAGATTCGACTCCATTGAAGGCGATTCCCCCAAGGGCTCACGTTATTCCATGCGTATACACAGACATAACCTTTATTATTCATATCCACATATTGAAATTACTTCGTTGCCATTGGAGATGAAGATAAAACAATAAGGGATGGGTTCAATTGCTTTCCATTCGCAGATGCAATAACGCAGTCGATTTTACCCCTTTCACAGATTCCTTTTCTTTTCTCATCCTTTCACTGGATTAAATTTCCAGCAATAATATTATTATCATCTCTTCAATAATTCAATTAGAATCAATACACTTTACGTTGATCACTAATGACATTCGATTGTTTTTGTTTTGACAGTCTCAATAAACATGTTGCTATGGCAATAAATAGATGATATAATAGACACTTACGTGTATCGTTGTATCTGATGCCGTTCAGCTCGGAGAAACATCTGACGACGGCGGTGTCGTTGAGCTGGGTGGGTGGCCAGCACGAGATCGAATCGAAGACAGTTTCGCAGAAGTCGCCGTCATCGGGAAACCGTTTCTTCAGGTCGAGCGTGTCGTTCGCGTACAACGCGTTGCACTTGTTCACCGCCTCCTCGATCTCGCCGAAACCGCCGTAATCGGAGAGGTTGAACTCGCCGGCGTGAACCTTCAGGTAATTCTCCAATTCCGCATTGGAGATGGTCGAACCGAACGGAACGACGTCCTGCTCGAACTGTCCACCGAGGATGTTCACCGGGAGACCTTCCTCGGCCATCTCGCGCGCACTCACTTTTCAACAAAACAAAAAAACAAAATCAACAAAAAATCCAATAACAACAACAACAACTAGATGTTGATGATGATGATGATGATCAAAAGCCTTAACAACCGGCGATGTTGTTGATGTCGTTATGGCAACGGATGCGACGATAATGATGCTTCCATTTGCAGCCGACGCCTCCCATATTCGTTTGCTTACTTTTAGTTATATATTTAATTTGTTTGTTTTTTTTTTCTTCTTCTTGTCGTCCTCCGTTAATTAATCGTGCTGCCGTATATCATCGCTCGGTCCCATTGTTCTGTCACTAATCTGCGAAAAGATGAAACACTCACTTAGTTTACTTAATTATTGTTATCTCTTTCTCTCTACTGCTGTTACTGCTACTACTTTTTGATGATGATGATGCTATATTATCATCCTCATTACAAATTAACCTTACGAAATTTCTCCTCCACTCGGCCGGCGAGTTTATTTTTACTCGCGTTATCTAACACCGATGTTTGCCTTTTGGTCTGAAGGTGCGCGCCACTCCAGTGCAAACTGTTACCGAGACGAAAACAATGTAAAATTACAAAGTGCGAGACTATATTTAGAAAAAAAAAACAATCAATTACAAGTGCAACAATTACAATACATTCATTTAATTCCACGCACATTGTTTCACCTATCAGTGGAATATCTTCTGAAATGAAACGACATTGAAAATATGCAATCAATGGGAGAAATGCAACTAGTTTATCCAGCAAAATTATGGATTTTGCGATGAAATCGAAATACGTTTTCGCAAATCGAAAACTTTCCGCTCGTTTTAATTAAACTCTCCCGCCGTTTCGTGCAAATACCACTATGAGGCTACATTCCCAATCAAATGTTTGCACATGGACACACACACACAAAAAATAATAAAACTTTTCTCATCTCTCTCTGTCTCATTTCGCCAGAGAGAAAAATGAATGGAAAGAAAGAGAAGAGAAGATAAGTGGAAAAAAAATATAGAGATAAATACGGAACTTTTTAAATATTTAAATGAGTTGACCGCAATTCGGTTGTACAACAATTTTATCTCCTGCTCTTCGCGAAGTTTCGAACCGAAGAAAGTTATAGCGCTCCAAGAAGGAGGGAGATTGCGGAAAGATCGAAATGATTGCAAAAATTGAGTATTTTCGACCTCAATATTGTACAGCTGAAAATGTGGCAAATAATTAATGTAGGCATACATTGTTGCAAATTATTATCTTTGTAGGCAATCCAATGTGCTTTAGATTCCTATATTGCAATGGCGATTCAATAAACAAGTGTTGCATAACAAACGGTAATGTAGGCATTCACATTTACAAATTCACTAATTAACTTTTCATTAAGAAGGAGACAAAAAAATGAGTTTATCGCGAGATTCGTCTTTAAATAATTAATGTAGGCATACATTGTTGCAAATGATTATCATTGTAGGCAATACAATGTGCTTTAGATTCCTATATCGTAATGGTGATTCGATAAACAAGTGTTGCATAACAAACGATAATGTAGGCATTCACATTTACAAATTCATTAATTAACTTTTCTTTTAAGAAGGAGAAAAAAAAATGAGTTTATCGCGAGATTCGTCTTTAAATAATTAATGTAGGCATACATTGTTGCAAATTATTATCATTGTAGGCAATCCAATGTGCTTTAGATTCCTATATCGTAATGGCGATTCAATAAACAAGTGTTGCATAACAAACGGTAATGTAGGCATTCACATTTACAATTCACTAATTAACTTTTCTTTTAAGAAGGAGACAAAAAAATGAGTTTATCGCGAGATTCGTCTTTAAATAATTATTGTAGGCATACATTGTTGCAAATGATTATCATTGTAGGCAATCCAATGTGCTTTAGATTCTTATATCGTAATGGCGATTCAATAAACAAGTGTTGCATAACAAACGGTAATGTAGGCATTCACATTTACAATTTACTAATTAACTTTTCTTTTAAGAAGGAGAAAAAAAAAATGAGTTTATCGTCAGATTCGTCTTTAAATTAATTACTTTGCGACTGTGTAATTAAATGAAAATCGTCTGCTCTTTGAAACCCAATACATTAGACTAATTATGGACGCGAAGGGAGCAGATAAAATTTGGGAGAGCGACCGTGTCGAAAGCCTTTCGATTTCGATAGTTTTCTTTTCGCTTTCGTCTCGGCGAAATTAAGCCTTTCGGGTAATTTTGCGTATCTTCTCAGAGCTACCCTTTTCATCCACCCAATTATACAAGCGCCCCATTAGACACAGCCACCTTCCTAGACGTCTCGAACAAATTCCTTTTGCTTTTTTGTTTCATCCCTCCTTTGTTTCACACAATCCCCTTAGGTAACTCAAATTAGCATTTCGATATTGCCTTCACAATTTTTTCTTTTTTACTTAAACGATCGATGCGTCCTCGACGACCGAGAATGAAATTACCGAAAGATAAAAGTTTACAATTTTTTTTCCATTTGCAGAGAGAGAACGTATAAAAGCGCACATCATAAAACCCGAAAAAGGTGAGGCAAAAACGCAATAATTACGCGCGCGCGATTCCGTTTGTCCCCGCCAAAAGGAAAGAGAGAGCAGACAAAAGCAGAAAAGACAACAAAAAGAAAGAAAGAAAGGTTCGTTTCCAGTCGACGTGATTCCAACGCCGTCTTTATGGCTTTGCAAATCACGAGAAGGATGATTTACGCAAGTCAGGTGTAAAAAAACCAAAATGTACACCTTTTGTAAATGGAATCATTCGCGCAAAGTAAAAAAAAATAAGGATAAAGTGGATTCATTTAGACTCATTATTAACAGTCATAGTTGTTGAGCAATCAAATAAAAGGTGGAGCCACTACTTTGACAGCTCCTCAACTTTGACAGACGAAATTTGACAGTTGGTCTATAGTTTTATCTTTCGCGATTATATAATAGTTTTTCATTGCTTCTAAATAACAAAAAAAAGAGAACTCACGTATGTCTTCGCATCCTTTTTAATTGAAAATGCGTGTTTAATGAAATTCCGGCCGATTAAATACGTCCAATTTCTACTCTATTTTCGTCCTCCTTCCTTTTTTTTTTCTTCACCCTTTTACCCCCTCATCGTTCTGTGCGCGTCAAAGTTTTCGGAAAGTGGAGCGGAATTTTATCATTACCAAACACTCTGATCGAAGGATGTGTGTGTCCTCTCATCCTTCTCCGAAAAGGAAGGAATTGAATTATCCGCACGTTATTAGTTCTCACACCCGCATACAAAGTTTCGAGTTCTCGTATAAATTCGCATCGGTGACGTTTCTCGTTGAACGAAAAAGACAAAAAAAAATCATCCTTATATTGGCTGCCAAAAGGACCTAACTCAACGCGAAAATATTTCAACTTTCGAACCGAAACTTTTCGCGCAAATCTGACACCGTCTCAATAACAAGTTACCTTGACAACCATTTTTTTTACTCATTTTTTTTTCTTCAAATTAACCCTTTTTCTTTTAGCTTTTCTATTCAAAACGCCAATTAACATTAACTTCTCCAATACAATCAACATCAGCGCCGTCCAATATTCTTGTTAATTGTTTATAATAACGCGTATTTAAATGGGAAAACTTACCATTAATTAATTGCAGTTCACAAACGCTTCGAAACTCACTGACAGTTCTCGTGGATGCGCCAGGTTGACCAACATCGAACCAAAAGTAACCAACTTAATTATCTGAGAAAAAAAAAATAACTAAATCAGTTGCTTTTTGTAATAATGGCGTTCCTCAGAGTAACCAACTTAAGTCAGTACAAAAAAAAAAATATACTACATCATATTACAGTAGTACCAACGTAATTTAATTGATATATAATCAATGATTATAACATTTCCAACTTCCATTCAAAGCAAACAGAAATTCACTGAATTAATTTCATGTATAAATCAATAGAAAAAACAACAAATTTCAATGGTTGTTATTCAATAAAATCACTAAATAAATTTGACAGATCAATTAGTAAACGTCATTTTATGTTGGTATAATGTAAGTTTTGGTAATTATTAATTGGATTTCAACGATTTGCGGTGGATGCGCCGGGACGTTTGAACATTAACGATCAATCAAAAAAAGTAAACGTAACATTTCGCAAGTGATGTTTACACAATATGCTTTGAATCACGTTTTTTTTTTTTTTCAAGTTGAAAAGTTTAAAAGTGCAAATCCATCATACTCTGAATGTAAACAGTTAAATGGAAAAATCGAGTTGTGTTGCTGTTATTATTATCATTTTTCAATTCTATTTTCTTTTCATCGGAGGAGGCTAAGAGGATGAAGAAGCAAAAAAAATGAATCACGTAAATTGAATCGACCAATCGTGAAAACGTTATCAATAGGCCTGCAACAACAACAGACGTAGGCGGCTATTTATATAATATTTTTTTTATCCCATTTCAATCCATTCCATTCTCCAATCCTCTCTCTCTCTCTCTCACTCCTCTTCAATTCGGTTTCCATTTTTTAAATTCCTGGCTTTAATCCAAGCCGGATTTTCTCTATACTTTTTGTGTATTCTCTCATTTTTCATACATACAAATATTGTTTTTTTTTGTTATTCATCGCGTATAAAAATATGACGTTTCAATCAAATACGTGATTCATTTTTTATTTTTGTTGTTGTTGTTACTCCATCTCTCGTTCGTTCATTTACATCGGAATGTTTTTTCGTGTATTGTTGAAATAATTGAATAAATTAAAACGCGATACGTAAGCCGGGGAAGAAACAACGGAATAACAAAAAGCGAAAAGTTACTGTAAACCAGTGGTTTACAAACTCTATGTTACTACGCCTCCCTCAAACGTATGTAATCATTTGGCGCCTCCCCAATCCCTCCATTTCATAAAAAGAACGAGTATTACAGCAATATGGATAAGAGCACAGGAATGTATCTATACTTGCTAGATTCCCCAAACATTCAGCTTTCATATGCATCTATTGGCTTCATTCTATCTATTATAGTTTTCGAGAAATTCAATGAAATGTGAAAACACTGCTTTTTTGAACATTTTTTAAACTTTGAACACG